ATACACCTTTGTAACTGTGCATGTCTAATAAATCTCTAAATCGTAAGATATACAGGATGAGTCTTTATCATAGGCTATGAACATATTTGTATTAGGTCTTTATTCTGTTACGCGAGCAACACGCTGTTATTACAGTTATTAATGTGTAATGCATATATATATAAAGTAAAAATAAAAGTCAATTATTTAATAAAATTACGTAAAAGAATTAATCTCACTCGAATAAAATTTGAACAAAATAGTTGAAAATGAGAATGAGAAAAAGTGAATTTTAAAGGAAAGTTATATTTTTATTGTATTTGAAGTATTGTGTCGTAAGTTTTGTCGATTATACAGAAAGTTTGACTTTGTTTGATGGTAATCCTTTCGATCCAGTATTCGTAACTCGATATAAAGCTCCATCTACAGGAGGCTGAAGATTTTTATTTACTCTTGTGTCACGACCAGTAGTAACATAAAGTTCATCAAGGTTTGGACCACCAAATTCTACAGAGGTTGTCTAAAAATATGTTGTATTTTAGTAAGACAACTTTTTTTAATATAGACATTTTGTAATTACTTGTATAGCGGGTATCGCGATAGTTTCTAGCAAGGTTTCAGGTTTTCTGGGATCAATTTTAATCACTCTTGATCCGAGGAAAACAGCAACCCACAGGTTGCCGTCTGAGTCTATGGTTTGACCGTCTGGCATTCCCGGAATGTTATGCTTGTCAAACGTGAATATCGATTGGCGATTGCCTTTAATTTTAAATAAAATTATTTTGCAATGTTAAAAAAATGGCGAATGTCTAGATGATGGCCCCCACCCCCAAAGAGGAGGTCTCCCCCACCACTGTACCATAAAAATTTCGTGGCGGTCTCAACCCCATAAAAAGTTATGGGGTTGAAAGTTGATTATTTTGACAATTTTCACACACTATAATTCAAATAAAATTCAATAAAAAAAATATTTTCAAGCGGGTGGAGGTGGGGGATCGAAAGAGGGTGGTGACTTGAACAAAACCCGATAACCTAACCTAACCTACCCTATTGATAAAGATATTTAAATAATGTTTTATATAACTTTCTCAATATTTTTATGTGTTTTTCCACTAGTTTTACCTTTGAATATTGTTTAAGAATGACTATATAAATATTTACATGCCTAGAACTGTATAAAAATTATTAACTTTGAACCCCTATAATTTTTTATGGGGGTGAGACCGCCACGTCGGGGGTGGGGCCATCATCTAGACCTTTACCAAAAAAATAATAAAAACGAACGTACTAATTGTGCCATTATCTTGATCATAATCAAATTGATCGACAGTTCGTTTACCAGAATCGATGTAGTACATTTTTTTTAGATTGGAATTCCATGCTAATCCAGTATTCGTAACTCGATATAAAGCTCCATCTACCGGAGGCTCCGGAGTTTTACCCTGGAATGTAAAACGACCGCTAGTAACATAAAGTTCATCAAGATTTGGACCACCAAATTCTACAGAGGTTGTCTAAAAATATGTTGTATTTTAGTAAAACAACTTTTTTTTAAATATAAACATTTTCTAATTACTAGTAAAGCGGGAATCTTGATAGTTTCTAGTAAGGTTTCAGGTTTTCTTGGGTCAATCTTTATCACTCTTGAACCGAGGAAAACAGCAACCCACAAATTTCCGTCGGAGTCAATGGTCATACCATCCGGTATCCCCGGAATGTTATGTTTTTCCAATGTAAATATTGGTTTGCGATTGCCTTTAATATTAAAAATATTTTAAAATGCTAAACAAAATTAATAAACCTTAATATAAACGTACTAATTGTGCCATTTGTTTGGTCATAATCAAATTCATCAACGGTTCGTGTGCCAGAATCGATGTAGTACATTTTCTTTAGACTAGGATTCCACGTTAATCCGTTAGAAATATGCACTCCATCTATATGCTGTTTAAGTTGACCGTT